ATTTAGTTTTTTATTCATGATTTGTTATGAGGCTATATGTGAATGGTCTTCATAAATCGCCTCGTTTGGTATCCGTTTGCTTGATCGTAACTCCGTGCTACTCGTTTTGACAGAAGATTTTCCTATAAATCAAATCTTTATTGTAGATGTCGGGGACGCCTCGAAAAGTTCCTCGTATTATGGCTAAATCCGCGAGGGCTGTAAAGACATCTGCTGCCAACAGTAAGTCTTGATCAATATTTGTGTGAGTGTGGATTAGCTATTGCATGAGTTTCACATTGTAGGCTCCAAGTCTGATGGTATAGAAGCTAGCGAAAATATTTCTATACCAGCGAATGAAATTGATGACGATCATGAACAACTTCTTGTACGAGACGGAGTAGTGGTAGGACTGCAGCAGCCCAATGGCCGCTTTGTAGACGAGACAGGAGTGCAGGTCAGTAAGAGGCTTGTCTCCATTGTTTTGCTTCATCGTTCTCATTATTCTTTTCTGTGGAGTCTGACCGTATTCTGTATAGCTTGTACTTTCGCAGATGCCGACAACCGTGGTACATACTAGCACTCCACGAACCAGGAGAATTGTAATTGAGAGTACCATAGAGAATAGCGGAGAGCTGGAACCCTACATACCCACAGCTTTACCCGGTCAGTACAATTCTTGAACTTCACAGTTTCTTCCCTCTTTTATGAGACTCATTTACTTGTCTGGAGCTTTCTGCAGCAGCATGACGTTGTTCGGGACAATTGAATTTTAGTTTTATGAATGTGCATAGAATAATTTGATTCAGCTTTGTAAGAAAATTTTTTTACAGTGCTCGGTAGCTTTATCAAAAGTGCTGCCGAATGTCTATCTTTGCGTTCTCTAAGCAGCACCAGTTTTTATTCACTTAATTGTAACGTTTGATAGCTCTGCTGACTTTTCGATTACTAATGGACGGAGTGGGATTTTTGTTTGGAAACCTACTATGCGCTGCTTTAGATCTAGTTGTGATTGTCCAGTTTTGAGAGAGAGCAGAAATTTGCTATTTCTGGTTTTGTGTAATTTGATAGCATGTTTTCCAATCATAAGAATTTTGTCTTGTTTTATAAATTGTTCCGCCACTGTTCCTTCTAACTTTCACATTTGTCTTAGTTATTGTTCTGAATTCTTTTACATTCAGGAAATTGTGTACGAAATCAATGAGCATGATCTTGTTCTTTGCATAGTCTACTTTATTTTCGGTTCTCGAGGCTACAAGAAAGGTTGTATGAGAAATAAGCATGCCCCTTTTTTCCCAAATCCTTAAAATCCAAAATTCGAGGAAATATGTTTGCAAAGATGTAATTGGAATTTTACTGCCTTTAGTTGCAAAGATGTAATTGGAATTTTACTGTTATATATATAGGTCTCAGTCTTCATTCAACCTTTTCGGCGCCGGTTTAGATTTGGTATAGAAATCCCAAATCTGTAGGACCTAACGTTAATTGAAGTGCTGAAGAATTCATTGGAAGTGCTGTAAACAGGACACGTCAGGCTACATTAGGCACATCCAAATAACGACATGTGTTGCGGCATAGTTGATCTAGGGGAAGAACTGAAGTTTGTAAAAGTGCATACCGTCTTTCATTTCTATTTAGGGGTGGCCGATGAAGTTGAATCTTATCCCTGCCCGCTTTGTCCTGATAGAGTGTTTTTGACATCGTTTGGTCTCGAAAAACATGCAATGGAGAAACATAAGAACCACTTGCAACAGGTTATAGCTCACGATCTTGAGACAGAGTACGAAACTTTGTTACTCTAGATAATTGATCACATCGAAGCAATCAGTGCTGAATGGCGACGGCGAGAGGAAGAACTCTCGCGGCGAAGGGAACGCGTTTATGCTGCTCGGCTTCGGCAGGAAACTATCACAAGACACGCACTTGAGCAGGTTTCAAATGGAACTCTTGGCACTTTTCCCGGTATGGTGTGAGAAAAATATATGATTTCATTTTTTGTACGCGTTACCAAACGCAGTTATATCAGAATTTGTGAATTTTGCCCTCTGTTTCCATCTATTTCGTTTTTCTTCAAACATAAGTTAAACTTGCTGATGGTCATGAAATAAAAAAGCAACAATTTTTACCAGTATGCGCGGATTCTGCCGACTCCATCGCTGCTGCCGGGGAAGCTGCAGAAGGAGAGCGACGGTTTAAAGCATGCGGCTTGTGTGGAATTCTCGTAGA